CAACAGGTTACCTATACTGGCCAACAGGTTACCTATACTGGTCAACAGGTTACCTATACTGGCCAACAGGTTACCTATACTGGCCAACAGGTTAGTGTAAAGACTTTAACTGCTATGAGTAGCTGGCCTCTAATTTCTCCCTGCAGTATCACCCATAAATCAAATATAAAGGTCATCAGAATAAAGGAAACAATCAACAATTTTGGGAGCTCCTGATTGTCAAACAAATTCTCTATGTTAGTGACAGTCTCAGGGAAGATAAAGAGAACAGTGTGCGGTCAGAATGTGAATACCAATGTAAGGATGTAAAAGATTAATGGGTTTCAAGATGGGAAGGTTCCATCACAAGCCCTGGCCATAATCACTGTGTTGAGTCTTACGGTAAGGACCTAGAACTCGGAATGCACTACTACTGATCAGAAATTATAATACCTCAGTAACTGACAACTTCTCGGTGATTTCTTCATGTTGTTTCACAAGATTTTTCAAGTGTGGCCCAAGGGTGCTGATCACATTTGATAATAACCTTGCTTGATTCACTGAAAAATAAAGTTAACTTTGTTTAAATTTTGAAGACCGGTAAGTGGCGAAGGGGACTGGAAAGTAAAAGTTACTGCAAAGAAGGCTCAAATGTGAAACGTTTACCTTTGAAGGGGCACCGGAAGTTACGAAGAGCTATACTGGCGTATATTGTTACAACTCTGACGCCTTTTAAAGGGTGGCGAAACATTTTAACCCAAAATCTTGTGGTTGATCAATCATTCGCCTTGTTCAACTCGTCTGCGTCCGCCATTTTGAAAAAGGGTGACTGAGGTTCAACATAAGTACCCACACATGAATGAAAAAGTTGTGAGCGGAAAACCGCTGAATGTAAAACTGGTTTGCTCGTGCCAGGCTCTACTCGACATTAGCATAAACGTACACGTTGTGTCGCAACAATTTTCCTCCGCGTGGATAGAAGTCAGTCAGTAACACGGAAAGAATTCAACTTCTAAGCGTGAAACAACGTTTTATTTGGTCAATCGTTTACTTCGTCAGTTTCAAAGCGTAAATCTTATGAATTATAATTGAAAACAAAAAATTTAAAGAAGCAGTATGCGGAAAAGTGAAGCCGTACAACTGCGTTTGGTGTCTTCCTGCCGTGATCTACGAAGCGAGACGAAACATGAGGATTTCGAGTCTACACTGAGCTTTCTTGCTGGCAAAGTGTCTAATTCTTCTTTTCAAGAAGCTTTTCAGGTATGAATTACTTTTCACTGCCGTAAAATAGTAGAGTGAAATAAGTTTTCTCCGGTTAAAAGTCGCTCTAAGGCAAAAGTTAGTCGTGTTACGGCATGTTTATAACACGTGGCGTCAATTTCTAAATCTTTAAATCCTTGCACTTTATAAATCCATGCGACTTTTTTATTTATTAAACTAAATTGTAGGACTTTTGATAAAATTTTAGCCGTTATTGATTAAAATTATCAATATTAAACAGCTCCTTTACTACTTCGGGTTTATTCTTTTCCTCAAAAAGTTGACTTGGAATCTAGAAATTAACTTGATCAATTTCCAATTACAGTAAGCTCGTTAAACTCACATTTATTCGATAATTCTTTCTATGTCTATATATATATATATATATATATATTAATTTTCATAGTTTTGATCAGAATGTTGTCTTAATGTTCTTCAAAATGCGTACGTGACTTCATTTGAGTCTTTGTTTGCAGGTTAAATAATTTTCTTTTTCTTGGTATACTAGAACGACATCGAGAGCAAGGGAACTTCCGCAAACGAATTGGAAGATGGTGAACTTAATGAAGGTGTGTCGTGAGTTTTTGAATTTTTTTTTTTTTTTGTCAATCTAGTGCAGTTCAGGAAAGAAAACTCCAAAGATGGTCTTTAACCATAAATACAGTCAAAAACAAAATGAATAGGGAAGGACCAGCTATAAAAGAACATTTGAGAGCAGAATAACTAAAAGGAAAGTTTAAATTACTAATTTTCTTCTTTCATTAGATGTGGGTCTTAATAATCAATGAACAATGAATGAAGATTATATGTACATTCGAGTATAAAAATGTGATTATATAGATTTAAAAATACATCTGTTCATAAAAATGTATTTAAATCTTCTTTATCTGGGGTAAACAGAACTCATGTCCCCATTTTCTTTGTGTTCTTGCCTGTTTCGGCGGCAGAAAATTGTGGAGTTGGTGGTTTTCTGTAGTGATAATCTTATTAAACAGAAGTCGGTCTCTCTTCTCTATTAAAGCTGATATACTGTATATCCTGAGATCTGTCTTGGTGGTGTAGCTTTTGATTTAAGCTTGTTTGCAGAAGTTATCTATTTGAGCCAAATACTTCTGACAAGCAGATCCCAGACTTCTATGCCATATGCAAATAAGGATAAGATTAGATATGGCACTCTGAAACTGGAATAAAAAGTCAGAGGTTTCATTTCCTGTGAAGATTCTATTTTTTGTTCATCTGATGTTCACAAACTGACAAGAAAACATCTCTCACCATTTCATTAACAGGGATTGAAGCCAATGATGTGAGTGCCTTACTGGAGCCATTTTTGGAATATGAAGAAAAGCAAGGTACATAATTATTGTTAACAGGACTCACCTGAACTTCAGTTAACCCTATTGGGTTCAAAGCCCTCAGCCCAGACCACCCCTGAAAATCCAGACAAAAATTAATGGCTGTCAAATTAAAAAAAACCACATGGTCCAAACATATTTACTATTTCATGTCTTGGTTTTACTCTTCAGCAGAGAAACTTTAAAACATGATTGCCAATACAGTAAAGAATTACTTAAACTACTTAAATCCTGAAGATGTATGTTATGCTTTTTTAAAAAAAATATTAAAGTATGGTCATCAAGTAAACAAAGTGACCATCACTGTACTACCTGCTATGTACAAGGGAATGAAAACATCTTAAAACCACAGTAAGTCTCAATTCCTGTTCTTAACTCAGCAGAAATGCAAACAAAAAGAATCAGTCAAAAAACTTTTGCATTACAACAGGCCATCTCACGGGTAAGAGAGTGAAATTCATAAGCTTTCTTGCACAGATCAAATTTGAATTTACTGCCATTGCTGACATCAGTGAACGTCACAAGGTAAAAAATAACTGGAAGTTACAAGTTAAGCCTACACAGACCTGGCAGAAAATTGTCATATGGAACTATTGAAGAATGAAATAACTATCAATTGAATAGAACCCTTTCAGTTAGAAGATGATCAACAATGCTTGGATTATACCAAACAAAGAAAGTTGTTTTTATCTTTGACCAGTTTGCGACTCGCAAAGTGAAGGTGAAATGAAATTGGGCTTTACAGCCTAATACAGAGCTCTAAAGAACGAAAACAAAAAAAACTTCAGTACAATTTAAGAACTAAGGTTATTAAGTGATTTTTAAAAGTTAATTTCCTCCGGGCCATTTTGAAAAGCATTCGCCACGCATATGCTGACATAAGGCAATGCCGCATAGCTCACAAGCATATGTTTCGAAGGTGCGTCCATCACTTCGTTTTCTCCCATCGTCGATGAAAAGATGAAGGAAATCTTTCGATGTTGCACCCTTGCCGAGATCTTTCGTCGGGCCACCAGGAATGGTAAACTCTTCGATGTCAATTTCACTCAATGTGTTTGACCATTGAACCCCAACGGAAAGCATATCTTAGTGCTCGCCAAAATCAAAGATCTCCTTGATTTTTCGATCAACATCTCGCAGAGAGTTTTCTTGTAGCCTCCTCCGTCGTTCCTGTCGAATATCAGCCACTTCTTTGAGAGAAAAATGAGAAAAGATTTCTTCTTCTTCATCGGAAGAATGCGAAGTATTGTCAAATCCGTGAGAAGCCATGCTAAGATACCGAATGCTATTTTCAAAAATTCGCTAAAAGTCACACACGAATCGCAGAATGAAAGACATAACATCAAATGAAAGGTTAATTTATGCAGGTCACGTTCAGATATATTTCAATACCCAGGAGACTAAGGTTTCTTAGCTACAGCCTATAAAAACGAGTCATATCTGACAGGGTGCATGAGGGCGCACTGGATTTTCAGAGGGGTTTTATTTCCGGGCGCACCGGACGTCAATGGGTTAAAACCCTTTTTAACTTGTGCTTCTCAATATGCCCCTTAGGGCTGTGGTCTGGCAATCCCCAGTGGCTCCTGGCACCTTACTTTTGCTCTTGGGCAACTCAGGAATCTTAGTTTTTTCACAAAAAAGCATAATTTATGCTAGGCACCCTTAGTTTCAGGGCACAATTTTTCTTGGAGCACAGCCTTGCCCCCTTATTTCTAAAACAAACTGGCTTTCCACTTTACTGTAGTTCAGTAAGGAAAATTCTATCCCCATTCACTTTACCATCCAATTACAGAGTTCCTAGTTTTTTATGAATTCATGTCTCACGAGAGATGGTAGATTTTGTGCAGAGTTTTTAAATCAGAAAAAAAATGTTATTGACTTGTTGCAAGGGAAAGGCATTTATTAATCCTTTGTCCTCTAAGAGTGACCAGCATCTAATTTCTCCTTACAATATCACCCCTGAATGAAACATTAAGGTCAGGAGAATATATGAAATGATCAACTAAAGAAGCTCTTGATTCTCAAACAAATCCTCCTCGTCAGTGCCTTAAAAGATGTATAAAGAACAGTATTTTTGTACTATGGATATTGTTTTTAAGATGTAAAGGATTAAAAAAAAAAATGAAAAAAAAAATGAAGGAAAGGGAATCTCTCACAAGGACTCAAACCTCAGATAGCAGGATTTTGAAGTCTGTTGGTTTACCACTGAGCTGCAGTGAACTCTTAGAGTGACCGAGGCCAAGGTGAACTTCTGACAAACATCCTGGGTACTGTTGGATTTAGCAACTGGTGTTTTCATTCGGCTCTCTTCCAAAAGGTGCAATTAAAAAAAAAAAAGTGGAGTCGGCTGTAATATAGATGTCTGTGGTATTGTTAAAGTTGGGAACAAACATTCAATAATTATACAATGTAGTTTTGCTGTAAATAATCTTTGCTACTCTCTCATTTAGATTTTTTTTTACTGCATCTGTCCTTAATAGGTTCAGTGGATGGCTCTATGGCGCCGCCGTCGTCTTTGTAAGTGTTCAATTTGTTCTACTTATACAGGTGCATGGTAGAAGGTCCATTCTTGAGAGACACATGAGTTGAAAGGTTACTGTGTCAAAGAACTTTGTCTGTTTTTTGTTTAGGACAAGTTTTTAGGAATTGTTGCTTTTCGCTCTCAGAATTTGATCTTTACTTGTTTTATGGACTAAATTTGTGTTTTTCACAAAAATTCTTCTCCTCATATGAAATAAGCTGTTCCTGTTACCTGCTTTTGAGTTGTTTTGTAGCAAGTTGCTGTTGTCTCCTATGGCAATTTTTTTATTTTAATGGAAATCTCCTAAAGGGCATACTATATTTTGCTAATTTCAGGAAAGATACATCTTATGAAGGGCAGACTGTTTCAGACAAGATCAATTCATTTGTCGAGACGCACGAGCTGAAATTTGACTTTCCATGTGATGTAGAAGTTGGAGGCCTACCTTCCATTAGTGAGGAGAATTCTGAACAGTTTCATTCTGCTGAAAATACAGAAAATCAAGAAGTTCATGAAACAATGAGTTGTGGATCATCTCAGGACAATGCGAAAGGACAGGATGAAAAGTCTAACATTGTTAAGAATTTCTATGTTGACAATCATGCAACAGATCATAACTATGCCTGTTGTGGATTTCCAATGAGAAAACCTATTCAGTTGAGACCAGAAGATTACAATACTTTGAAAAACTCTGCACTGAAATGTAGTCCCCAAGAGTCTCTAGACATGGAGAAGAAAAATCACTTAATTTCTGAAGAAACTAGAAGCCCTTACTCACACAAGAGGCGGTCAAGCTGTAATGAAAATTCGCCAGATAGAAAAAGGAAACTCCCCAAGCGCTATAGAGGTCCGTACTGTGAAGAGAGCTCTGGCGGAGAAAGCAGTTGCGATGAAGAGTGTCATTATAGACGAATGAGCACTGATAAAGATCGAGACCGTACAAGAGAGAATAGTATTAGGAAGTTTAGTTATAGCTCTGATGGAGACAGAAGTTATCATAAAAGAAGCAATCGTAGACACAGCATGTGCTCCAATGACAGCTATGATGGACGAGAGTTTTCCAGTTCAGACGAGGAGAGTAAGAATGGAAGCAGATATGATCCTCGACGTTCTGAATGTGATTGGCAGCGCAGGCAATCAAGTGGCAGTGACAGAGAATCAGACCACTACAGGAGCCCTCATTACAGAAGAAGGAGCAGAGGGAGGAGGAGGTCTTGCCATAGAGACTCCACAGAAAAGAGAAATGGTGTCACAGAGAACAAAATATTTCATGACATTGAATTTGAAAGAAAACTAGAGTTCAAGTTTGACCATAACATCAGGGACACTGCAAAGGTACAGGGAACATACTTTTTTTTGTCATTTTGTTTTAATTGTCACATTGAAAATATTATGCAATGGAAGTTGTGCGCATTAATGTATGCAATTTCTTGATTTTATACAGTATTGTAATTTGAGGCTGGTGAAAGATGGGGTTGGGGGCGCCTCTTCACTTGTAATATGATTGGTGGTTTAACTGTTTAACTCCCAGAAGTGGTTGACATGAAACTTCTCCGTATAATATCCATACATTATCCAGCAAACAGGGCATGAGAATTTATACTCAAACTTGACAAGTACGTGTTATCCTGATTGAACACCAAATTCCTGTAACTATTTTACGATCAGACGTGTAGCAGCTAGAGGGGAGAGTTGCTTGTAACAACCAAGTTGTGGGTATTTAAGGGTTCATTTATGTTGAAGCTCATTGACATTTCATTCTCTTGTGTTAAATATCCTTGTTAAATGACTAAACTATAATTATGTTGAACATAAACATTGTAATGCACTCGCATTTTGCATTATACACAGTCAAGTCTCCTTTAACAGGCACTCTGGTATGCAGACAGCTCTACTTACAGACACTTTTTTTCAATTCCCCCTTTTACTTTCAAATCAAGGTCTCTGTTTACACTATCACGCAAGTGGATACTCTCTCTTAAGCTTACCGCTTAAGTGAAAATTGGATTTTTCTTTTGCTTACACTCTCTTGTAAGTGGACACCCCATGCATAGAAAATTAACTTGGCAATAAGAATTTGTCTCTAAATTGCAATCAACAAAAACAAATGGGGATCAGTTTTGTCAAATCTCCATTTGTCTCCCCCCCTAATGAACTCTATCATAAGCAGACGTCCACCTTATTTTTCTTTGGCGTCCACTTATGGGAATAATTCCTATAAGCAGATAGTTCAACGGTTCAAAAACTCTTTCATTTCAAGATAAAAAAAGATAACAACGTTCTATTTTATTGTAGGAGGAGAGACGTATTGTGTACATTGGTAAAATATCAAACAAGACTACAAAAGATGATGTATTCAAAAGGTTTCGTCCATTTGGGCCGATTGAAAAAGTTACTGTCCACTTCAGAGAGAAAGGGTATGGTAAAAGTGCACTTTGATGTTAGAAAACTTCAATACCAGATCAAGGTTTTCATAATTTAGTTTGCACCATGGCTATGAGACTACTCTACATATATGTATATGTTGCTTTTTTGAGTTTTCAGGATAGTTTTTTCTTCAATTTTCTTATCAGGAGACTTTTTTTAGGACTCTTTTATCGAAAAGTTTTTTTTTTTTTTTTTCGGCCACAGCTAAAGTACTGTATGTTATTTCTACCTTTTTCCTAACAGGGACAACTATGCTTTTGTAACATTTTTTGAAACCTCCTCTGCTGCTGAAGCTATTGAAAGTGAGTATTATTGGAAACTTCGATTTTATCAGAGTCCTTTTTGAATAAGCTTTTCTTAAGTATTATATAGTGTGACAATTCTCTTATTTTAACATAATTTTTTCTTCAGGAGGAAATGAAGACTCACGGCTCCCTGTCTTGGATCTTTGCTTTGGTGGAAGAAGGAAGTTCTGTGGTGGTAGCTATGTGGACTTTGGTAAGTATTTTTTGAGCTTTGCCATGTTTGTAATTTTGTTCCTTTCACCTGTTCTTCATTATTTTATTACCTGCTAAGAGTGTCTAACATCTGATTTTTCCTAACAATATCACCCCTGAATCACACATTAAGGTTACAAGAATTAATAATGGTAATTGAACTGAGTGGAGTGCAATTTGGGCTGAAATCATATGCGTGATTTCAAAATCAAACGAGCATGCAGCGCAAGTTTAATTTGAAACCACAAGTATGATTTCAGACCAAAATTGCATGACACAAGGTTCAATTACCACTTTATTACATCCATTTTGAAATCACCCAAATACAGGACTAGGTCATTTCAAATATTTTTTTGATGCAGTACCGAGCCGGTTTTTAAATAAAAAGCAGAACCGGAAATGCTTTTACATCTTATTTTGTATGCAAATTAAAGAGAAAGACTTTGACATCATGTGTCAGAAACTCAGTCAAGCATAACATGATGCGATTTAGAGCAAAAAATGGTGGGATTCGTGAATAAATCGCACTAATTAGAGCCAATCAGATTACAGGGACCACCAGTGATTTCAAAATGGATGCAATAAAGGAAACAATCACCATCTAAAGAAGCTCTTGACTGTTAAACAAATTCTTCTTGTAAGTGCATCAGGAAATTTATAGAGAGCAGTATGAGAATATGCATACTGATGTCAGGGGGGGGGGGAGATAACTCCCAGAAGTGACTAACTTGTAATTTCTCCTAACAATATAACTACATTAACCATCCAACAGATGGCTTTGGGAATCAGTTCACTCAAACTTATCAGAAAGAAGTTTTTATCTTGATCTTATGCTAAATTCACATAACTGATGTACAAGGAAATGTGTAGTAGCTTGAGGGGAGAATAAACACTTGGATAAATACACCTCACATGTAGCTCTGATTTGTAGGATAGTCCCTCATTGATCAGGGCTGTGGTCTAGCAGTGCCTGGTGGCCCCTGGCTCTTTACTTTTGTTCTTGGGCGACTCAGGAATCTTAGTTTTTTCATACAAAGCATATGCTGGGTACCCTGGATTTCACATTTTCTGAGCACTGGGCTCCCTTCAATTTTTCTTAGAGCATGGTCTTGTTGATTCTGTGGTACAAAGAAATATGACCCTGAAGATCACTTTGACCTTTTGAATATCACCTACAGATAAAGCTTGGGAATGTATAGGATAAGAAAGTTATAAAGAAGCCCTATCAGGAAGTAAAAAAAGATTGTTCTCATTCCCTGACAATGGAAAAATTTGATTCTCAGATTCAAACACCAGCTATCTTGAAGAACAGGAACTGAGCCGACCACCTTCATCGGATGAGATGGATTTTGATGCACTGCTTAGAATGTCACAGAAAAATTTGAAAAGCAGAAAGGAATCTTGCAAAGGCAGATACATGTATTAATAGAAGACATAGATGCTGGCTGATGAAGCTGTATCATTCATTAGTTGATGAGGTAGTTGAAGAAGGAGATCCACGTGTTCTGATACATTGGTTATTACTTGCTCTATATTCTGTTTGCTCAAGCTGTACTGAGGAATAATTTTTTTTTATTGGCCCTTATTCATTTTTTGTACAGACCTCATTGTGGTTGGTCCATACTTTGATGTCAAGTCAATATTCCCCATTATTACACGACTTGGGCAGTCAGAGGGCCAATAACTAAAATCAACCAATCAAAATACTCTATTGCTGGTCCAATATTCTCCAGTATTGGACCGGGCACTGTCCTGAATGGTCCAGAATGATACCACACTGGTGTCCCTTTGAACTTCAGTCGTATAATAAATCTCTTATTAACCAAGCTTGCTAGGGACTGTACTGGAAGAATATCGGCCCTTGGTCTTTTTTGTACGGACCTCGCTATGCTCAGTCCGTACTGTCAAGACCTCGGGCCAATATTCTCCCAGTACAGCCCTCATGCTTGGTTAATAAGATATATGTATGGCCCCCACACTCAGTTAGTAAGAAGTTAATAAATTCACAGAAAGCAAGGGAGTCGTATATCAGAGTGCTTCCAGATAAATTTTCAATTGCTGCTGAACTCACCTCATACAAATGTAGTTGCATTACAAAGCTTTTGAAATTATATCCACTTGACCACACAATGATAAGGAAAGCTTCACTTTTCAACCAGGTCTAGAATGGACCATTGTTTAGGGTGGGATTATAAAAGAAACACAGTGCAATTACTTCATTTGTACCAAGACAGTGAGATCAACTTGGCTAGAAAAATTAAGTAAATTAAGACTCCTTTGTTCTCAGTGAAAGGTTGAAGAATTGAAAATGGATAATTATGTAAAACACACGACTCACTTTTTATGAGCTACAAAATTACTTCATATTCTTAAATATATACAATTCATATCAAAGGACCTTGAAGTGTTTTCAAAGAGTAATATTATTTTCAATCTAATAATTGATACAACTAGAAATAAATTTGGCAATGAGTGCACATGGTGTGTAAAATATTGACAGAGCTGAAAGAAAATCAGTTTATATTAAACTGAGATAATTTTTCTGGTATTGAATTAATGAGCCAAAAAAAAAAAAACAGTTGAGCCATATTAGAAATGCATTAATTTTTGTGGCAGTAGGTAGTATTGGTGTTCTGTAATAAATCTGATGTCAAAATGACAAGGATTAACGAATACATTTTTTCAACACTAACAGGAAAATTTTAGAAGAATTTTGGCAAATGCACTTGTTATAGTTTATTTTTTGGAAAACTTGACATTAAGTTTTACTTAGTTAAATAATTACCTAGAATTGAAAAGAACAGTTTTGTTGACTCATTTACTTAGTTATCTCCAACTGTTGGTAAAAACGATTACTACTTGGTTACTTGGTTGTTTAGACGTATTTCATAACTGGATATCCTAGATGAGTGATTTTTAGTCTCTGAGCAACATGTATACGCACCAAATGGCAATCATGCTTTTCTAGGAAAAATGTTGAATAAAATTTCCCCCTGGGACAGTACTAAACCGTTGGCACTGAGACGACAGTTGAACAAATAAAAACTTAGAGAAATATTGTGAAATGAGATATTGGTTAAACAATTTAGATAAATTGTATATTTTGGAACTGCATTGACATCGTAATAAGAAAGGGTATTTGCGGATTGATTTCCTGTTGCCTTTTTGTCTTGTTGTGTGTTTTTTTTTTTTTTCGGAATCAGTCATAGAGGCTGTTCTAGTCTTCAGGGGTTTTACCTTGCACTCACCAAACCTAGGCTGGGCCGGAATAAGAGAGACCTGGAAGCGAGATGAATGAATACTTGGTGCCTAGCCTCGTTTTTAAGTGAGTGTCCTTGGAACTCGGAAATGGGTTGTTAGACAGAGCTGAAAAACGAAATGCCACGTTAAAGGGTGTGCGGGCTAAAAGCGTGCGAGGTTTAAAATTTGGCGAAATTCGCGGAAAATAATGAGGGCTGACATTCAAAACCATTGCGTTTTTCAGCTCTGTCCAATAAGCCATTAGCAAGTTCCAAGGGCCCTCACTTTAAAAACGAGGCGAGTACCAACCATACTTCGGGGCGACGGAACTTCACTTGAGAGCGAAGGAGCTTAAGGCGACCTCACCAACATCCTAACTCAAGTCTCCTTATTGTGAGGTTACATTGTCCTGGGTCCTCTTAGCTTCCTTAGTTAATTGGTGGCGTCTTGGTTCGGTTTCAGACTTGATTGGTGGCGAATGATTCGCTCTCACGAAGGGCTAACGCTCGAAACGTCAGCTTTTTAACTTTTTACGGTCGCCAATTTACAATTTCAACTTAGTTGATATAAGCAAATTACCTTATTACCCCCACCGACGGAGAACCACAGTTTCTTTAGAAACTTACCCCCTGTACTCTTATGTTATGTATTGAATCGCGTATGCGCATTACATTACGTCTACTGTCGCATTCGCATCGGATCTGTGAGTTACACATATCACGAGTTAAGATAGAACAGAATGTTTATTTAATTCTCAACCTTTCGTTGGCTTTTATTCGCAAATCAAATTTTCTCCGGCTGGGTAGCTTCTTACGAAACGCATTTGCAGAAATAAGCAAGAGGTTTTGAGTGCGCTTCGAAGCTTGGACTAGAGAGGCTGCAGGAGGCTTGGGACTGAAAATTGAACAAACCCTTGGAAACTCTGATCGTTCTCGTGACGTTTCCTTTGCTGTCCTTCGCTTTCAGTTTCATCGAACAACCACGCTGGCTACAATATCAATATTCCAAAAAACATAACCACAAAACAGATTTAACTTAGATTACGATAGCACCATCCTAACTCAAAAATGGGATCACTAGATTAATGGAACGTTTTTCGTGAGTTGTAATCTTACTTGTCCTGCTCAGGGACATGGACTCGTTTTTATGATCGTCACTCTCTATTAGTCACGCAATCCATGTAATCAATCAGTGGGGTTGCGTGACGCACTAGAGATCAATATGTTATCTGAACATTTAGGATGTACCGTCTCGCCTCGTCTTACCTTAAGTTATCAAAATCATAGCAGCTGAAAGGTTTAGGCTCATTTCTTATTATCCTCTATCGTATGGGGCGAGCACTAGTGAAGTTTTGAAATCGTTTCGCGGTTTCTTTTTTCTTCATAAATGTCCTTAATTTAACACAAATGTCCTTAATTTAACACAAATGTCCTTAATTTAACATAAATGTCCTTAATTTAACAGCTCTAAGTGACAGACGCGCCCATCTATGCAAGGTTTATATTTATAGACTCCGGAATGAGAGTCACCCCTTGCATTTTATGCTCCCCAAACAGGAAGAGGTTGTGCTTAATTAGAATCTTAGATCTGGCATTAGCCGCTCCACGCGTCCTACTTTTAGGACCAAGCGCACGCAAGAGTTTGCCACGCATAAGTATACCTAGTGGCTTGTATAATTATGCCTTTTAGTATTATTGGATTTATTGTATTATATTTTAGTATTGTATGTTTTGTAAATAGCTCTGTAATTCAGCCATTTTGTATATTGCCGCAAAGAGTCTTAATAAACAGTCTTTATTCTTTAGTCATGCGCGCGTGCATGTCGGTATCTCAGCGTCATAAAAGCTAGTTTCGTAGTTTGCCATAGAAACGCTCAATTTACACGAAGATAATAACTCCTGCCCCGAAGAAAGATTTTACTATAACTTATTGAGGAGCTCATTTGAATCTATTTGTTCGATCAATATGGAAAAAGAAAGTGAACACGAATTGCCCCGAGGAAAAAAGCGTAAGCTTAAAGAGAAGAATTTCCGCAGGTTAAAAAGGGTGAGTTTTAACGCACACCACATATCAACAATAATGGTTGATAGAGACTGTTTTACATTACCCAGTGAAACTGCAGCAGCATAGTTTAACTGTTAATCTGTCTTTCAGCAAAAGGTGGATAATTTTTTCTTTTTCGTCGACTATTGAATCCGAGACTTCAGACTCGGGTGAAGCTAGGCACTGAATTTCTTTAAATTTTCCGTTATTCCAATGACTTCCTAAGACTTAGACGAGGAAGCCTACTTTCATTGACTGCTTCTTTGTTTGTTTAAGAGTATCGTATCACCAAAATTGAGGCAATCACTGCAACCAATCAAAACGAAGCTAAATATTACAAGAGCCAATGAGAGCTCAAAGGAAAACAAGCAAGGTTCCTTAAGCGCGGGAAAATGAAAATGACCATGGCACGGTTGGTTTCAGTTTTAAATCTGATTGGTTGGGAAAGTAGGGCAAGTTTTTTTTACCAATCACAAAGGGAAGTAAGGCAAAATTTGATTACTTTTGACACTTAATTGATGGTTGTTCTTATAGGGAGCATGTCCAGTATTCAAACTACAGGATTAAGAAAAACCATTTGAACTAATACATTTTTGATTGTATTTTGACTGAATGATAGAGTCGAGGGTCTGAAAGACTAGGCGAAAATAAAGTGAAGTACCCATATTAAGCTTTGTAGTTTTAGTTTTCAGTGCAATAGTCATAAGAAGGATACAGATATTGTTATTTGCTATATGTGTGCTGATGGTATGTTATTTTTTTTCGCCGATAGCTTTGCAACAGCAAGGACTTCCCGAAAGCCGCTGTCAATAAGAGGTTTGTACACCAATTTTGTCAACTTCATACCTGAGACATTTCGACCAGAATTGGGAATTTTGTCTCTCAAAAGACTGAAGTTAACTTGTATTGTAAAATGCTTTTAATATTCTCTTGAACTGCAGACTAAGATGTGTTTGGAGTGGGTCAGGGATATGCTCCGAACGTTTGATAAAAGACAATGGACCTTCACACTCTCAAGTAAATATGAATTGAGTTACCAGTTTTATTTACCAGCTATTCCACGCTTTTTTCTTTTTTTTTTTTTTGGACGTTTCACTGAACATTCTGCCATTTGTAGGGTTCAATTCTATCCCTGGTCAACTTTTTTAATTTCAAAGTTATAAACACATACTGCCATCCTCAAAACCGAGAAATATTGAATCATGAACTAAGATAATACATACTGGCCGTAAAATCACCATTACACCAGGGATCGTATCTCTATTTTGCCGCGAGACTCGTCCTTCGAAACCAAACTTCTAACGCATGTATTTCGAAAACGGCGCGTTTTTCAATCGTCAATTTTTGCATATACGCTACTTAAAAAAATAATCTTTAAGATATGAGAAAATAAAAGCATTCAGGAAAGGTCGAGTTAGCCGCCGGTAACGTCTTAAAATTG